CAGACAACCCCGTAACAATATGCGTTTTGTACTGCTGTTACACAGCACAAAACGCATAAAAAAAATTACCAACAAATGGTTTTAAACTTATTATGCGTTTTTTGTTGTGTAACAACAGTGCAGAACGCATATTGTCACGGGGTTGTCTGTGTGTGTTTGTGTGTGTATGTATATGTGTTGTGTGTGTGTCCGCAACAAACTGTCCGCAACTTTCAACTCGGGAACTACAAAAGCTAGGAGGCTTAAAATTTAAGGGAACTCGCGGCCCGGGTAAAATTTTTGTCTCAGCAACCACGGGAGCTAAAAGGCTGAAATTTTGTGGACATGTCCCCTGCCCACATGCGACCCAGAAAATTTAAAGTCAGCCTTCCCTTGCCCACGAATAGCACGGACGATTCGTGGAAACTTTGGCGGGTAAATTATTATCTCGGGAATCACAAACTGCGAAGCTAAAATTTCAGGGTAATGACCTCCTACTCACGCACGACCTTGCAAATTCAGCGTTCCGGTGCCCTCGGGTATCATCCACGGCCTCATGAGAATTTTAAACTGCTATCTCAGAAACCACAAATTACGAAGCTGAAATTTTAGGGTCTTTTAGGGTTCTTCCGCGCTCTCGGGTATCACCTACGGTTCCATGAAAATTTTGGCGGGGAAATTATTATCTCAGGAACCATACAAACCAAGAAGCTGCAGTTTTGCGGTAGTGCCGGTGCGTGAAATTTTTAACTGTTTTTCAACGTTGCAACTGTTTTTGCACAGACTAAGGTATGAAACACTGAAAATCATTAACAGGCAATCGTTAAGTGGACGAATTGCACAAAACGCATGATCGCACCGGCTAGTATGGTGCGCGTTGCTATTTATTTTTACTTTCTTGACAGTTTCGGAAAGTTTTAAAACTTTTCTTGATGCAATGTTATTTATACAAGCGCACAACCCAGACAGGTTTGTGGGTGCGAGCATGCGTTTTTTACACAATCTTTCCGCGGATGTTTGTAGCTAAGTAGCACTGCTTTTTTGGCAGATACTTCTAGCTAGACAAGTTGAGGATTGACGTGCACGTTATCACAAATTATCACTAGGATTTCCAATAAATGTAATCGTGAACGGGGTTCAGAAAGTTCCAGCAATCTAGGTGAGCTGTTTACGGGGTTTCGGACAAATTTCACGGGGGTAAATATCAATAACAATATGGAAATGTTAAGATGGTGGTTAGCCCTGCTGGTGGAGTTGGTGCAGTACTAGGTGGCGCGCTCGCTGATGCTCTTGCTTGTTTGATACCAGTGAGAAAAACATTTGCTTTGTAGTTCCTTGATCCGTTTCAGTACTGAAATGATCCTGTTTCGCTATTATGCCAAGCAATGAAGTTGCTCTTTACAGCGACATCAAAGTGGGGCCACCGGCGTCCTTGCCGGTGCCTGGGTGCAGTATTATCGCACACATGTCTAGTGGTCGGCTTTCTCTCAGAGGGAATGAAACAGTGGGAGGCAGGTGATTGTTAGAGCATTCATCTTTACTTCAGGTCCTAAACAGTCATGAAGCTTGCATGTAGTAAATTCAAAATCCTACTTGCCACTCAACCGTCTTGGATGCTTCGCTGTCAATTGCCGCATAGATTTTGTTTCCCTGCTGATTGATTCGTTCTCCGACTGCATAGCGTCCGATCCCGTACGGGATATGCAAAACTCCTGACATCACATACGCGCTAACGATAATTCTGCGTGCCCGCTGAGGTACATTCCAAGTGCGAAAATACATGGGAAAGACGATTGATATAAAACGATCCAGACTTAATGCTACGACAATTAGAACGCCTGGAAGTTAACAAGGTGTGGATTATGTGGGGGATGCGTAAAATTGGAAAGCCCCATGCCTTTTAATCCGGTGGCTGATCTGGTTTGTGGATGAAATGAGGCAACTTCAGATGTGGCTGCTCCTCCCTTTTCATGCCTGCCTTACATGCCTGTTTGACCTGTTTGACCAAAACGGCAATTCTGAAACATGCGGAAACTGAAACCAAAACATCGATGTCATGCTAGCTGTCAGCTGCTCAAAATATCTCTGATTATGTATATGAACCTATTCGTTCAGCTCAGACCTGTTCTGGACATGGGGGCTTTTTATGCGTTTTTTGCAGCTATGCAATGCGGAAAATGCATATTGACGAGAGGTTGTCTGTGTGAGTGTGTCTATTTGTGCGCTGGACCTCTGTACCGATTTTTCATCTCGAGACCTGCAAAAGCTACAGAGCTGAAACTTTGGGAACTTAATCTATATGCGTGTTTGGGCCCCATCCCCAAAGTGGGCGGTCTTACCCACTTGATACTCAGGACTCGTGAAAGTTTTTTGCGGGTAAGCTGCTAACTGGAGAACCAGAAATGCTAGAAAACTGAAATTGTAAGGGGATTTACCCGTCCACGTAAGTCTCCTACCAGTCCAAGGCTTGCCCTCGGGTGTGCGTGTTACCCACGTACGGGCCCGCCAAAATTTTTTATGGATAAGTCGTTAACTTGAGAATTTGAAAAGCTAGAAAACTGTAATTTTGAGGAGATGTTTCCCGTCCACCTAAGTCTCATTGAGCTCAAACCCAGCCCTCAAGTATGCGTGGTACCCACGCACGGGTCCGCCAAAATTTTTTTCGGGTAAGTTGCTAACTCGGAAGCCTGAGAAGCTAGAAGTGATGTTTCCCGCCAGTTCTGGCGGCCACTCTGAAATTCTTTTAGCTAAAAGCATTTACTGGAAAAATCAGTACAGTTAACGACAAAAATCTGCGGAGAACTATGCAGAAAACACATCTTCGCACGGGCAGCCCGTGCGTTGGCCAATTATTTCTGTCTTGAAATTACATATCACAATGACAAATGCTACTTTGTAGTGAATTGAAGGTGGTTTCCCAAACAACGATGTGAGCTGTGTGCAACGATGTCACTATATTGCAGTTCGCTATGCATATATGCACCTTTTTCATCAAATTTCATTGGTGATTTAGACAAATAACAACAAGTTATAGGCTTGCAAGGTCTGACAGCGTGGAAGTGGGTTCAAATTCTGCTTTAATAATTAACTCATTTAGCAAATTTCTTTCGTCGATGATCTCAAAATCAATAAACTGTTTGAATTGCTTCTGTGTTGGTACGCTGTGATATCAGTTTATCGGCACCGGTCAATTTCTTATATGCGTGATATTGTAGTAGGTTTTGCTGACGCATTGACTTACCGCTAATATTTTTCCACCGTAATCAAAGGCGAAGTTTAAAACGAATAATTTATTTCGCATATAAAAACCACTTTCTATCAAATCGTCTAGCTCGTGTTCGTCATATTCCTGCATCTCATCAACTTCTCCTTCCATGGTCTTTTTCCTCTTTCCTCAAATTTTGCTTTTAATCTGGTCTTAAGCATTTGGTTACATACACGTCTTATACGGGCAGGAGGATGAAAGGGAGATAAAACAGTGACTGTACCACAATTTTTTTCACCCTTACATGCCTTGTTTAGCTTCAGTGTTTTGGCCTTCATATGAAATGAAGAGTTTGGGGCTTTTAATGCGTCGAGCTAGTTTTCGCAGATTCTTAACCATTCTAGCTTAGGCGTGAATTGCGTTTAATCAAACGCATATGCTGTAGCAGCGCATAAAAAAGATACTAACCTGTTGCTAGTGCCCAGTTGATCAGCGAAAGCATTAGGTGAGCCTGATAGAAGCCATAAATAGGTGAGTGATTGAGGGGAATCCCCGCACGTTGCACAATTTCTCCGCTAACAAACACCAGAACAAAAATCATACATAGTAAATCAGCAACAGCCAAAGCCCTTAGATACATGTAAGATACAGCTCGTAGTCGTTTACTGGCCAGTGTCATCAGATTTGTAACATTGCCTGAAACTCGGAGTATAAAAAACAGTTTTCATTTTTCAGAACGATTTTTTTTTTTTTT